GATTTGCTTCAGAACCATGAAAAAATGTCTGGAGTGTGGCTGTAATAATTCAGTTCAATAAGGGAAGTTGCAAACTTCCGACGAATCGCTTCACAGAAAGCTCGTATCCTTTTGGTGACATTTTTGATTCTCGGAGAAAAGCTATCCATGTTGATTTTCCAACAAAATTTTGCAATATAAATACCTAGTGATTTTCTCCTCACTGTCCGCGGTGGAGAATAAAGGAGTTTCCAAATATGTCCCCTACTGTACATCTGAATAGCGTCCGAGAGGAGAGGATGGCACACACAAACAATCCACAAACAATCTCAAACCTGCTCACTATGTGCACAGGAAGGGCCCACATCTCAGCCACTCGTGGAAAGTGTCTTCGAATCATGAGTATGTCCCATCTAATTTACCCTGTGGTGCTAAGGAATATCAACTTTCTGATGAACATAAAACGGATTCCATTACAGTTCCAGAACGAAGGTGCGGATAAAATGGGAACCAGTTAGAAACTATTATATGTAGAGGAGTTTCTGCATATCCGCTATTTTCAGTCTATTGCCTGCTCAGGCGCTTTCCTGGTGCTTCTCGTTATCTACTTTACGTTGGCTCCTCTTGCTACGACCGATTTCCAATTCTTCCTTATGCACCACGCTAGCCTGGGCCTCCACTCACGCAATTTCGGGGTAAGTGTTTCTAACTCAAGTTCCTGTCTGACCTCTCTGAATTCAGAGGTGATACTCTCCTCATCATTACGGACTGTCGGGGCGTATCAGCCAGTAGGAGTGCGCACACTGTTTGAAGCCGTTCTCAGCCTTTTCGTTGAAACGCGTATGCGACAAAATTGCTCGCTTCAACAACTGGTGCAGAAAGACTTTGGCACCGCGGAAAACGCAGCCGCACTGACCCGCCCCGACAGTCCGTAATGATGAGGAGAGTACATGCCAGCAAAGAGCCTGTGATCAGAAACCGTGAGTAGTGGGCCTCAAATCACGAGGTTAAGCTGTTAAAAACTTATCAGTAAAGAATGAAAGCAAAAATTCGCCGGAAATGCGTTAGATGGTATCCCTTCGGGCAATAAAAGAGGGATGTGTGGTGTTCATAAAAGATCTCACTCCACACCTATCATGCCTCTCGGGGAGACTCGCCTGCGGTGTTGCCTGACTTAATTGCTCTCTCACTAACTCCTGACCTCTCGTCTACAGACACGACTGAGCCAAACTGAACATGGAAAGTAGAAGGAAAAAAGTAAACGTAGGAAATGTCAGAAAAAAGATGTTTTCATAAATTTAAAATGTCAAGAACACATTTAACCACTTAGAGCAACTGAAATGCAGACGTACACAACCTGAAATTTCTGCTCCTGGCAAGCCTATGTCCGCTGCCGTATTAGCGTAGTGCTCTCGTGAACTGGGGCGAGCTAGCGCCATAGTACGATCCCCTCGTCGCGCAAATGGCAAGCGACGTAGGCTTGACCCTGCTTACCGTCACATAGTCGTTCCGAAGTGGGAAGACCGATCAAAGAATTAGAACAACAGTTCTTCGCGCATACACATGCAAAACCATTTGAAATGTGCGCTTTAGCAAATGATCAGACCGCTCGTTTGTAAATAAGGATTTGAGCTTGCTTACACTGTATGATCTTCATGAAGACCTGGCGCTAAAAACACCTCTCGATTCCGTCGTAGCTTGATGAGGAACTTCTCCAACAGCGATTATATTCAGTGTGACCCTCAGAGACGGTTTTGCTTTGCATGAAAAATGTCGTCGAATCTCAGGATTGAACACGACCAGAATCGCTCTAAAACGAAAAAAAAAAACATTCGCTACAGTATGTGTTCCATAGCATCCACTTGTTGTAGATCACGGAACTATAGTCCTCTTAGTTTGTCCACACATCGGTAAGGGATCGAATACGGAGTGCACGTATTGTAAAATAAAGAATGAATAAAGGGTTGTCGTTGTATCGATTCGAAACTGAATCCAACTCGCTGCCCCCTTCTTCACGCTTGTAATGGGCGAGGCACCTCGTGCCACGAGTATTTTCGTTCAAGGAAGCCGCTGGTAAACTTAAACGCTAGATAGGGCTACGAATTGTGGATTAGACATGTTACTTGGTCTGAGAAACAAAACAGCGATCAAAATTTGGAATTCTTTGCGGTCTGATGATATCCTAAAGTTTGCTTCCTTCTCGCAGGTTCTTCTGTTCAAATTGTCTGCGGCATATTCCGCCCTATCCCCTTGAGTATACCCCATCCTGGGCTGGCATATCACAATGCAAGTGTTGCTCCAGGGGAGCCTTTTCTTCTTTCACTTGCCATTTCTTCAAATACAGTGGTATGAAGGGACCCACATCTTCACTAGTGCGGAAATACGTTTATCATGCTGCTGATCACTGCATACGTGAGGAGCAACACACAGGCGAGAAGTGAGCTATAGAGATGGGGAACAATTTTGGCAGCTGCCGACTTCAGCGCCTGTTAGCTTTGGGAATCACCGCCGCCTTCTGCGAAGCACGCTGGTGCTGCGGTAACTGGGAAAAAGTCGCGAAAACCACCGGCGTCACAGCTCCGCACCTCAGTGTAAATAATCACCGGCTAGGCTGGCAACATTGTCTGGCTATTCAGGCTGTCCGAGGCACCACGTTATCACTTACGTCAGTTTTTCAAGCCGTTTTCACCTTTAGACACATAACTTTCTTATACTCATCCGCATTTCTCAAGTCGAAAATAAGCCAGCTTTCGACTGCAGCACCCAAGGCCACACACAGCAATCGCCCAATGCGCAGTTGATCTGATAATCCGCAGTCAAAAGAATAAGAAACTGTGGTGCGAAGAATACGACAGAAATCTACGGAGGCTTTTCTGGCATGGTCCGTAATTGATGAAGTATTTCCTCAGCAGGAACTTTCTGAAAATGAAAGGTGATAGTCGATTGGCGAAAGGTCTGAAGAATATGGCGGTTGAGGTAGAAACTTCAACCCCAATTCGTTCAATTTATGGATAGTGATTTGTGAAACGTGTGGGCGGGCGTTGTCATGCAAAAGAATCGGACCCTTTCTTTTGATAAGTGTTGGCTGCAGCTGACAAAATTTTCGGTACATTTCGTCGATTCCTTCACAGTAGGACTCTGCTGTGAGGAATTGGCCTGGTGCAAAAACGTATACTGGATCACACCAGCCGATGGCCACCACATTGTGACTATAATCTTTTTTTTCGTGAGGATTCGGCTTTGGAAATTGCTCCGGTGGTTCGTCGGCATCCAACCACTGTCCGGAACGTCTCCTGTTATCATCAGCGCACTCATCTGGTTGGGGAACTTTAGTCGAGTCGGTACGCACTCCCAAAGACCCCCCCCCACTTTTTCTGGGAGCTTGGTAAACACCGCCCTCCCCCAGCCGCTTTTCTGTCCTTCCTCCCCTCATACGAAAATCGCAAGCCGTCGGAGGAGTATGGGGGCATATCAAGTACGCATGAAGCCAGGACAATCAGGAATCATCACCAAAGTCAACCACGCAGCTCCTCAAAGCAAAACGCTTAATACGATCCCCACCCCTCTCTCAAACCAAATGACCAAGCACGACCTCCCCCCCCCCTTAACAACGACCGTGAAGCGAGAAAAATCAACTATCAAAATAAATTTTTCCCAGCCCAAATACGACGCCCCCGTAATGGGGATTCCCCAACAACGATGTGCCCTGGTTACCATACATGATCCACTTCTCATCACAGGTGACAATTTGGCCCAAAAACGGGTCGTTTCTGCTGTGAAGAAGAAACCTCGAGAGGTGCCAATTCCTGCCGGTCTCTCAAATTGTGTGGCACCCACTTGTCTAGTTTTTTCACCTTCCCAACGCCTTTAAGACCATCCGCGCAACACCCCTCGGATTGCGCCAACGCCTAGCTCTTCTGCAAGATCTCTCGAATGTGGGATGGTCACCTCCACATGAACGCCTTCAAATCCTCAAGTCAAGGTATTGCTTCATGTCGATCACTCTCTAAGCTTGATATCTTCAAAACTGAAATCTTTGGATCGAAATTTGTCGAATCATTGTCGCACGGTGCTTTCTCCAACATTATTGGGCCCCACAAGTGGTTAATATGTCTGACGTTTCGACTGCGGATTTTTCCCATTTGTAGTTGAGAGAAATAATATCATGTTGGAAGTGCCTCTCTTGGCAGCTCAAAAAAGTCTTGGGATAAAGTTGGTTTGTCAAGCAGTGGTGAAACGGCAACCATACCATCAGATAGCACAACGAATTCTCTTTAGGATGTACTACTGGGACCCGAGGAAGAATGAGTTTTTAATCAGCAATGAATGTAACAAAAAATTGGCAACCAAAACGCTGAAACTTTTCCGCGACAATGCTTCGATACAAGGAAATCAGCCTGGTTTCAACCGCACGTTCAAAGACCATATAAATCAGCAACACAGCTGTCATCTGTTCATGTGACTGCCGCAATCAACACCCTCTCTTTTATCGGTGTGGAACTTTCATAAAGACTCTCACTTCACAGCCTAAACAGCCTGGCGGGGAGACCGTCGCCTGCGGTGTTTGCCCACGGCTTAAATGGTCTTTCATAACTCCTCGGACTTCATCCTCTACTTGACGATTACATCATGATGACTGATTGTTACTGCTGATTTTTTAGCAAGTTTAATAGAATTAAAGACTACAGTTAAAAATTTGAATCACATGAAACAATCAAGTTGAAGAGCATGCTAATAAAATGAATTAAAATGAAACACTAAAGAATTAAAAATTATATTAAATTCAAATTAAATTAAGCTCAGATGGTAGTGTTAGTAATACATCTAGATATTTTTCTACAATAATCTTTCGCTTCGTAAACCTCCTAGTGTTTGGTCCCATACAGGTGATAAAAAGTGAGCGAATGACTGGGCCTGCAATCCTGTAAATTATTACATCTCGTTTTCCATATTTGCTTACCTGTCGTTCGCCCATGTATTCCCGTGGTTGTGTTTCTGCTGGTGCTAAAAGGGAATCTGAAGATTGCTGAGAACCTGGAATGGAGGTATGTGCAAGTGAAATGAGCGAGTTGTGTGCTGATGGTGGATATGACAATGAAGCCGGCGCGTTAAGAGCAGGAAGCGGAGTTGGACGCCAAGTTCATCCATCGAAATGTGTGGCGTCGTGGTGTGTGCTTCCGGCTAAAACATGAGACGAGGGAAACGGCACATGCATAGTAGTATACTGAAGAACCGATGAGATTGTGTACAACCAAGAATCATATGTTGAGTTAGTAGTGCTTTGTGCGACATCAAATGAAAAAGAAAACGTGTACAAAGGGAAAGGGAGTGATGTACTGCCGGAGACATCACGGAAAATCAGAGAATTGGTGGGAACGGAGGAAAGGGAGTGAATGTTATCGTTCATGCTCTACTGTGCGTTACAGAAACAACAGTGCTAAAGTTTTCCGGTAATCAGCTCGCTTAATTACTGATTAGCAACAGCCTTTAGATCAGTTGTGAGTTGGTAAAAGAGGTGCCTAACAGTTAAAAGTACTGACGGTCATATTTAACGAATTAACCTCCCTATAGATGGGCATTAATAGAGTCCAATTACAGCGAGTTCTTAGCGCAGAACACATTCAACCTTCAAGTCAGTACAGAGATTAGAAGTTCAAAACTTTTGGGATACATTCAATGAAAAAAAAACAATAGAATTTTTTCAATACGTGCCCTTTTCCCATTTGAATTGCAGAAATTTCAGGTTGTGTACGTTTGCATTTCTCTGCTTGCTCTATGTGGTTGAATGTGTTCTTGACAGTTTACATTTATAAAAAAAACTTTTTTTCTGACTTTTCCTACGTTTACTTTTTTCCTTCTATTTCACATCTTCAGTTTGGCTCAG